TTTAGTCACGGTGGTCTTTAGTCACGGTGGTCTTTAGTCACGGTGGTCTTTAGTCACGGTGGTCTTTAGTCACGGTGGTCTTTAGTCACGGTGGTCTTTAGTCACGGTGGTCTTTAGTCACGGTGGTCTTTAGTCACGGTGGTCTTTAGTCACGGTGGTCTTTAGTCACGGTGGTCTTTAGTCACGGTGGTCTTTAGTCACGGTGGTCTTTAGTCACGGTGGTCTTTAGTCACGGTGGTCTTTAGTCACGGTGGTCTTTAGTCACGGTGGTCTTTAGTCACGGTGGTCTTTAGTCACGGTGGTCTTTAGTCACGGTGGTCTTTAGTCACGGTGGTCTTTAGTCACGGTGGTCTTTAGTCACGGTGGTCTTTAGTCACGGTGGTCTTTAGTCACGGTGGTCTTTAGTCACGGTGGTCTTTAGTCACGGTGGTCTTTAGTCACGGTGGTCTTTAGTCACGGTGGTCTTTAGTCACGGTGGTCTTTAGTCACGGTGGTCTTTAGTCACGGTGGTCTTTAGTCACGGTGGTCTTTAGTCACGGTGGTCTTTAGTCACGGTGGTCTTTAGTCACGGTGGTCTTTAGTCACGGTGGTCTTTAGTCACGGTGGTCTTTAGTCACGGTGGTCTTTAGTCACGGTGGTCTTTAGTCACGGTGGTCTTTAGTCACGGTGGTCTTTAGTCACGGTGGTCTTTAGTCACGGTGGTCTTTAGTCACGGTGGTCTTTAGTCACGGTGGTCTTTAGTCACGGTGGTCTTTAGTCACGGTGGTCTTTAGTCACGGTGGTCTTTAGTCACGGTGGTCTTTAGTCACGGTGGTCTTTAGTCACGGTGGTCTTTAGTCACGGTGGTCTTTAGTCACGGTGGTCTTTAGTCACGGTGGTCTTTAGTCACGGTGGTCTTTAGTCACGGTGGTCTTTAGTCACGGTGGTCTTTAGTCACGGTGGTCTTTAGTCACGGTGGTCTTTAGTCACGGTGGTCTTTAGTCACGGTGGTCTTTAGTCACGGTGGTCTTTAGTCACGGTGGTCTTTAGTCACGGTGGTCTTTAGTCACGGTGGTCTTTAGTCACGGTGGTCTTTAGTCACGGTGGTCTTTAGTCACGGTGGTCTTTAGTCACGGTGGTCTTTAGTCACGGTGGTCTTTAGTCACGGTGGTCTTTAGTCACGGTGGTCTTTAGTCACGGTGGTCTTTAGTCACGGTGGTCTTTAGTCACGGTGGTCTTTAGTCACGGTGGTCTTTAGTCACGGTGGTCTTTAGTCACGGTGGTCTTTAGTCACGGTGGTCTTTAGTCACGGTGGTCTTTAGTCACGGTGGTCTTTAGTCACGGTGGTCTTTAGTCACGGTGGTCTTTAGTCACGGTGGTCTTTAGTCACGGTGGTCTTTAGTCACGGTGGTCTTTAGTCACGGTGGTCTTTAGTCACGGTGGTCTTTAGTCACGGTGGTCTTTAGTCACGGTGGTCTTTAGTCACGGTGGTCTTTAGTCACGGTGGTCTTTAGTCACGGTGGTCTTTAGTCACGGTGGTCTTTAGTCACGGTGGTCTTTAGTCACGGTGGTCTTTAGTCACGGTGGTCTTTAGTCACGGTGGTCTTTAGTCACGGTGGTCTTTAGTCACGGTGGTCTTTAGTCACGGTGGTCTTTAGTCACGGTGGTCTTTAGTCACGGTGGTCTTTAGTCACGGTGGTCTTTAGTCACGGTGGTCTTTAGTCACGGTGGTCTTTAGTCACGGTGGTCTTTAGTCACGGTGGTCTTTAGTCACGGTGGTCTTTAGTCACGGTGGTCTTTAGTCACGGTGGTCTTTAGTCACGGTGGTCTTTAGTCACGGTGGTCTTTAGTCACGGTGGTCTTTAGTTACAGGTTTTAAAATGTAAATGGACGGGTACAGTGAGTACAGTGAGTATACACAATCCTGTATGGCCTGCTTGAGCTGTCACATTCGATCGCCTTTTAGCTTTCAGCTCACCTTCAAGAAAGACGGCAGCACCAGTGAAGGACACCGTCACCATTGTACCGTTGAACACCACCGTGAGCAAAGCACTGGCGCCGTCTTCTCGACAACCACCGGGTAGTGGGGCTGCATGCAACAGGGAACAGCAGAACAGATCACAAAAAGCAGTATGTTATGAACCGATAGACTGGACACTCTGCACAACACACCCTGCAGAACACACCCTGCAGAACACACACTGCAGAACACACACCGCAGAACACACGCCGCAGAACACACGCCGCAGAACACACGCCGCAGAACACACACCGCAGAACGCACACAGCAGAACGCACACCGCAGAACGCACACTGCAGAACACACACTGCAGAACACACACTGCAGAACACACATTGCAGAACACACACCGCAGAACACACACCGCAGAACACACACTTCAGAACACACACCGCAGAACACACACTGCAGAACACACACTTCAGAACACACACGACAGAGCACACACTGCAGAACACACTGCACAAGACACTTGTTTTTTTATTTTTCTGCCAAACCAAATCACTCCATTGACTTTTGTAGACAACGGTTTACCTATGTCGTCACCCTACCATCAGGAGTACGTGACGTTTACGCTAAATCCAACGGTACTCATACCCAGCACACAAACTACTGTCGGTCTGGTATCTTTTCGACGCTAGAAGGCTCTGTTCACCGGCAGAATGAAACGGTACGATTCCAACTTTTTCCGCACAATATTTTCACATGCTGTCCCTTCAGCGCGCATGCTTGCTCATTTTCGCGGGGAAAAATGAAATGCCCATGTGGTGCACGCTTCCTTTTGAGTCGTTTTCAGTTGTGCTGACTCTCACCAAGGTTCTTTCCTCTGCTTGGAATCATCTCCTTTGCATGTGTCAAGGTACGATTTGCCTTTCTGGAAAAGATATCTCCTATTTTTGATTGATAAAGGACTCTGTTTCCTCTCCGCTGTTCCCCTTCAGGATAGGAACACGTAGCCGAAGTCCTCAATAGCGACAGGCAGGGCACACACACACCACACAATAGCGACAGCCAGGGCACACACACCACACTCTGTGTGTGCTATGAACGTACCAAACACTTCTTGCCGACAATCATACTCCATGATGAGGAATGTGTGTGCAGATATGATGCAACAGTTCACAGGCATATAGCATGGTGACATCCTGGCAACGGCCCTCATAGGGCCCAGACAGGTGTGCGATTAAACCGCCTGGCAGCATCAGCGACTGAAACTTCATCACATGTCACCACTTACGGCCACTGTACCGAATGCGTTGGCGGTACCTTGGTCGGCATATCCAGCAAACAATTCTCTTTGATTTCAAGTGCTTATAAAGAAACAGAATGAAATTGAAGACATCACTGCAGCTGTACTTATGGTTGATAAATATGGTGGTAAAGACACACCTGGCAATATGGCGGTAAACACACGCCTGCCCACACACGCTCTCTAGGCTGCAAAGTTCTGGCACAGAGCTCTCCTTCTCACCACCACCACCATCAGTTCGCGCCTGGCGCCTGGTCGATGCGTGGCTGGCGGTATCCGGCATAGCAGGCTGGTACATCAAGTAGCGCATGGCACATAGATGATGACACAGCAACGGCATAGCTCGATTGCGACGTACGTTTCGTCCCCGCTGGACTCATCAGGCAATCTTCTTCTTGGATGTCTTCATACGGAGCTTGACTCGGGAGAATGAAATTGAAGACATCACTGCAGCTGTACTTATGGTTGATAAATATGGTGGTAAAGAGTCTAAAGACACACCTGGCAATATGGCGGTAAACACACGCCTACCCACACACGCTCTCTAGGCTGCAAAGTTCTGGCACAGAGCTCTCCTTCTCACCACCACCACCATCAGTTCGCGCCTGGCGCCTGGTCGATGCGTGGCTGGCGGTATCCGGCATAGCAGGCTGGTACATCAAGTAGCGCATGGCACATAGATGATGACACAGCAACGGCATAGCTCGATTGCGACGTACGTTTCGTCCCCGCTGGACTCATCAGGCAATCTTCTTCTTGGATGTCTTCATACGGAGCTTGACTCGAGAGAATGAAATTGAAGACATCACTGCAGCTGTACTTATTGCCTGATGAGTCCAGCGGGGACGAAACGTACGTCGCAATCGAGCTATGCCGTTGCTGTGTCATCATCTATGTGCCATGCGCTACTTGATGTACCAGCCTGCTATGCCGGATACCGCCAGCCACGCATCGACCAGGCGCCAGGCGCGAACTGATGGTGGTGGTGGTGAGAAGGAGAGCTCTGTGCCAGAACTTTGCAGCCTAGAGAGCGTGTGTGGGCAGGCGTGTGTTTACCGCCATATTGCCAGGTGTGTCTTTACCACCATATTTATCAACTATAAAGAAACAGTTCGGAAATTTACACAGACACTTACATGTACACACACACGTGGACACACACACACACGTGGACACACACACACACACACATGCGCACACACACACACACACACATGTGGAAACAGACAGACACACAGACACACACACATACACACATACACACACACACACATACACACACACACACACACACACACACACACACACACACACACACACACATGTGGACACACACACAACACTGCATGGAGGTGCTACACGTACCAGAACGCGGGTAGACCATGGCCTTCACTTGAGCATTGGCCTCCACAAGGGAATACAGAGCGGCGAAATAGTCAAACTGCACGCTGATGTTTCCGCTTGAGCTGAGGTTAACAACGATACCAGTGTTGCGTGACGTCATAACATCTGCTTTCGAGTAACTGAGTGTTGAAGGCGGGTCTGGTGGAGGACCGAGCAACGGATATACGTATGGTGATGCGCGCACGCGATGCAGGCGACAGTGAGTTTGCACCACGGCGAAGCCATTGCCGCTATCGGGCCCGGAACTGCGGTTGGCTGCAGGCGACCAGTCAACCTGGAATGTCATGATCTTGTTATCGACAAGACGTACGATGCCCTGAGACCTGGCCCGGCTCAGGATGTATTTACCTGTAAGGCACACACGAAAAAGGAGGAGTCTGAAAGCACTCTACAAGGCGTGTAGACAGTAACAGGCATCACCACACCTCACTGACAAGTCTTCTTCGCAACGGCTCCAAAAAAACTCGTGCAGGCAAGCAGAGCGACAGCACTGAGTCCTAAGCTCTCTTGTTTCATATTATCACAATACTGTACTAGCAAACCCCTCCAGCCCACTTCTCCTAGACTGAGGGTAACGATATGGCCCACTTCTCCTAGACTGAGGGTAACGATATGGCCCACTTCTCCTAGACTGAGGGTAACGATATGGCCCACTTCTCCTAGACTGAGGGTAACGATATGGCCCACTTCTCCTAGACTGAGGGTAACGATATGGCCCACTTCTCCTAGACTGAGGGTAACGATATGGCCCACTTCTCCTAGACTGAGGGTAACGATATGGCCCACTTCTCCTAGACTGAGGGTAACGATATGGCCCACTTCTCCTAGACTGAGGGTAACGATATGGCCCACTTCTCCTAGACTGAGGGTAACGATATGGCCCACTTCTCCTAGACTGAGGGTAACGATATGGCCCACTTCTCCTAGACTGAGGGTAACGATATGGCCCACTTCTCCTAGACTGAGGGTAACGATATGGCCCACTTCTCCTAGACTGAGGGTAACGATATGGCCCACTTCTCCTAGACTGAGGGTAACGATATGGCCCACTTCTCCTAGACTGAGGGTAACGATATGGCCCACTTCTCCTAGACTGAGGGTAACGATATGGCCCACTTCTCCTAGACTGAGGGTAACGATATGGCCCACTTCTCCTAGACTGAGGGTAACGATATGGCCCACTTCTCCTAGACTGAGGGTAACGATATGGCCCACTTCTCCTAGACTGAGGGTAACGATATGGCCCACTTCTCCTAGACTGAGGGTAACGATATGGCCCACTTCTCCTAGACTGAGGGTAACGATATGGCCCACTTCTCCTAGACTGAGGGTAACGATATGGCCCACTTCTCCTAGACTGAGGGTAACGATATGGCCCACTTCTCCTAGACTGAGGGTAACGATATGGCCCACTTCTCCTAGACTGAGGGTAACGATATGGCCCACTTCTCCTAGACTGAGGGTAACGATATGGCCCACTTCTCCTAGACTGAGGGTAACGATATGGCCCACTTCTCCTAGACTGAGGGTAACGATATGGCCCACTTCTCCTAGACTGAGGGTAACGATATGGCCCACTTCTCCTAGACTGAGGGTAACGATATGGCCCACTTCTCCTAGACTGAGGGTAACGATATGGCCCACTTCTCCTAGACTGAGGGTAACGATATGGCCCACTTCTCCTAGACTGAGGGTAACGATATGGCCCACTTCTCCTAGACTGAGGGTAACGATATGGCCCACTTCTCCTAGACTGAGGGTAACGATATGGCCCACTTCTCCTAGACTGAGGGTAACGATATGGCCCACTTCTCCTAGACTGAGGGTAACGATATGGCCCACTTCTCCTAGACTGAGGGTAACGATATGGCCCACTTCTCCTAGACTGAGGGTAACGATATGGCCCACTTCTCCTAGACTGAGGGTAACGATATGGCCCACTTCTCCTAGACTGAGGGTAACGATATGGCCCACTTCTCCTAGACTGAGGGTAACGATATGGCCCACTTCTCCTAGACTGAGGGTAACGATATGGCCCACTTCTCCTAGACTGAGGGTAACGATATGGCCCACTTCTCCTAGACTGAGGGTAACGATATGGCCCACTTCTCCTAGACTGAGGGTAACGATATGGCCCACTTCTCCTAGACTGAGGGTAACGATATGGCCCACTTCTCCTAGACTGAGGGTAACGATATGGCCCACTTCTCCTAGACTGAGGGTAACGATATGGCCCACTTCTCCTAGACTGAGGGTAACGATATGGCCCACTTCTCCTAGACTGAGGGTAACGATATGGCCCACTTCTCCTAGACTGAGGGTAACGATATGGCCCACTTCTCCTAGACTGAGGGTAACGATATGGCCCACTTCTCCTAGACTGAGGGTAACGATATGGCCCACTTCTCCTAGACTGAGGGTAACGATATGGCCCACTTCTCCTAGACTGAGGGTAACGATATGGCCCACTTCTCCTAGACTGAGGGTAACGATATGGCCCACTTCTCCTAGACTGAGGGTAACGATATGGCCCACTTCTCCTAGACTGAGGGTAACGATATGGCCCACTTCTCCTAGACTGAGGGTAACGATATGGCCCACTTCTCCTAGACTGAGGGTAACGATATGGCCCACTTCTCCTAGACTGAGGGTAACGATATGGCCCACTTCTCCTAGACTGAGGGTAACGATATGGCCCACTTCTCCTAGACTGAGGGTAACGATATGGCCCACTTCTCCTAGACTGAGGGTAACGATATGGCCCACTTCTCCTAGACTGAGGGTAACGATATGGCCCACTTCTCCTAGACTGAGGGTAACGATATGGCCCACTTCTCCTAGACTGAGGGTAACGATATGGCCCACTTCTCCTAGACTGAGGGTAACGATATGGCCCACTTCTCCTAGACTGAGGGTAACGATATGGCCCACTTCTCCTAGACTGAGGGTAACGATATGGCCCACTTCTCCTAGACTGAGGGTAACGATATGGCCCACTTCTCCTAGACTGAGGGTAACGATATGGCCCACTTCTCCTAGACTGAGGGTAACGATATGGCCCACTTCTCCTAGACTGAGGGTAACGATATGGCCCACTTCTCCTAGACTGAGGGTAACGATATGGCCCACTTCTCCTAGACTGAGGGTAACGATATGGCCCACTTCTCCTAGACTGAGGGTAACGATATGGCCCACTTCTCCTAGACTGAGGGTAACGATATGGCCCACTTCTCCTAGACTGAGGGTAACGATATGGCCCACTTCTCCTAGACTGAGGGTAACGATATGGCCCACTTCTCCTAGACTGAGGGTAACGATATGGCCCACTTCTCCTAGACTGAGGGTAACGATATGGCCCACTTCTCCTAGACTGAGGGTAACGATATGGCCCACTTCTCCTAGACTGAGGGTAACGATATGGCCCACTTCTCCTAGACTGAGGGTAACGATATGGCCCACTTCTCCTAGACTGAGGGTAACGATATGGCCCACTTCTCCTAGACTGAGGGTAACGATATGGCCCACTTCTCCTAGACTGAGGGTAACGATATGGCCCACTTCTCCTAGACTGAGGGTAACGATATGGCCCACTTCTCCTAGACTGAGGGTAACGATATGGCCCACTTCTCCTAGACTGAGGGTAACGATATGGCCCACTTCTCCTAGACTGAGGGTAACGATATGGCCCACTTCTCCTAGACTGAGGGTAACGATATGGCCCACTTCTCCTAGACTGAGGGTAACGATATGGCCCACTTCTCCTAGACTGAGGGTAACGATATGGCCCACTTCTCCTAGACTGAGGGTAACGATATGGCCCACTTCTCCTAGACTGAGGGTAACGATATGGCCCACTTCTCCTAGACTGAGGGTAACGATATGGCCCACTTCTCCTAGACTGAGGGTAACGATATGGCCCACTTCTCCTAGACTGAGGGTAACGATATGGCCCACTTCTCCTAGACTGAGGGTAACGATATGGCCCACTTCTCCTAGACTGAGGGTAACGATATGGCCCACTTCTCCTAGACTGAGGGTAACGATATGGCCCACTTCTCCTAGACTGAGGGTAACGATATGGCCCACTTCTCCTAGACTGAGGGTAACGATATGGCCCACTTCTCCTAGACTGAGGGTAACGATATGGCCCACTTCTCCTAGACTGAGGGTAACGATATGGCCCACTTCTCCTAGACTGAGGGTAACGATATGGCCCACTTCTCCTAGACTGAGGGTAACGATATGGCCCACTTCTCCTAGACTGAGGGTAACGATATGGCCCACTTCTCCTAGACTGAGGGTAACGATATGGCCCACTTCTCCTAGACTGAGGGTAACGATATGGCCCACTTCTCCTAGACTGAGGGTAACGATATGGCCCACTTCTCCTAGACTGAGGGTAACGATATGGCCCACTTCTCCTAGACTGAGGGTAACGATATGGCCCACTTCTCCTAGACTGAGGGTAACGATATGGCCCACTTCTCCTAGACTGAGGGTAACGATATGGCCCACTTCTCCTAGACTGAGGGTAACGATATGGCCCACTTCTCCTAGACTGAGGGTAACGATATGGCCCACTTCTCCTAGACTGAGGGTAACGATATGGCCCACTTCTCCTAGACTGAGGGTAACGATATGGCCCACTTCTCCTAGACTGAGGGTAACGATATGGCCCACTTCTCCTAGACTGAGGGTAACGATATGGCCCACTTCTCCTAGACTGAGGGTAACGATATGGCCCACTTCTCCTAGACTGAGGGTAACGATATGGCCCACTTCTCCTAGACTGAGGGTAACGATATGGCCCACTTCTCCTAGACTGAGGGTAACGATATGGCCCACTTCTCCTAGACTGAGGGTAACGATATGGCCCACTTCTCCTAGACTGAGGGTAACGATATGGCCCACTTCTCCTAGACTGAGGGTAACGATATGGCCCACTTCTCCTAGACTGAGGGTAACGATATGGCCCACTTCTCCTAGACTGAGGGTAACGATATGGCCCACTTCTCCTAGACTGAGGGTAACGATATGGCCCACTTCTCCTAGACTGAGGGTAACGATATGGCCCACTTCTCCTAGACTGAGGGTAACGATATGGCCCACTTCTCCTAGACTGAGGGTAACGATATGGCCCACTTCTCCTAGACTGAGGGTAACGATATGGCCCACTTCTCCTAGACTGAGGGTAACGATATGGCCCACTTCTCCTAGACTGAGGGTAACGATATGGCCCACTTCTCCTAGACTGAGGGTAACGATATGGCCCACTTCTCCTAGACTGAGGGTAACGATATGGCCCACTTCTCCTAGACTGAGGGTAACGATATGGCCCACTTCTCCTA